GTTCACTCCCTCTGGGGCACCTGGCACTGGCCACTGTCGGTAGATAGGATACTGGGCTAGATGGACCTTTGGTCTGACCCAGTACGGCCGTTCTTATGTTATGTTCTTATGTAAACTTAATGAGATTTCTGCACACTTCTGTACAACAAACCACAGCAGTGATTCACCATGTAAATTATCTTTATAAACTTGAGATGAAAATGTATCAAACTTACCAACCCAGGCACAAAATCTACTTGCTCACCATTTAGTTTATCATCAAAAATCATTGTGGTAATTATAGATTTTACTCACTCATTTAAAGATACACATGCCCAGTCAAGTGAGAAACTAGAATTTTTGAGATTGGTTTAAATATATCAATTCACCTGCATGAGCACAGTAATTAAACATTATAATCTGATCTTTAAACTAGAATTATGCATATGTTCATGCAGAAACAATGTATAAGAGGAGCCTTTGTTTCTGCACTTACTGTTGCGGATTTAAGGCTCATTCCTGCTCTTACTGACATTAGTGGCAGAATTGCCATTCACTACAAAGATGCAGGACTGGGCACCTACCCTATAAACTTTCCTATTGATAAATCTCCATCTTATTTAGCACCAGAAGGAACATAACATAAAATTACTCAAAAAAAAATACGAACCAAAGTTTGCCTCTTCAGTAGTGGTGCCTCTCCATCAAAAACGAAGACAGGCCGGATTCGAAAAAATAACAACTTGCAGAGTCGATGGAACAAAGTGAGTAGGTGAGCATTTTGTGTGGTGTTACCATAACGGTCCCTTGCTCCTTTTACCGCTTGATTCAACCAAATGCTAATATCTTTAAGGGCAGTTAAGAGAAAAAAAATGTCTAGTCTTACAAGCACATTTCATAATGTTAACCATGCAATGAACAAACAATATTAAATTTATTTAAGTCTAAATCTTGTCTACTGTTCCAAGCCCAAGTAGCTAGGTTTGTATACAAGAAGCCAGTTGATCCTCCAATGAATAGTGAAAACGGGAGAGGAAAGAATTCTTAACACCATACCCAAGCCAAAGAGCAGCAATGGAGTCACTCTGCAATCAACACAACAACCCTCACTGCTTCTGTAAGTGAATGAATTGTAATAGCTTCCCAGTTTTCATCCATGTTAACAAGGTGATTTGAACTGATTTTTCCTAACCCAGAAGATAGGCATTAGTTTCCCCTTTTTTGTATTCTAGTTCAAATGACTGTCAGTACTGTGGACATCAGATGAGCTTATGAAACACAGACTCCTATAACCTGTCATTTGTTTGTGTAAGGAATCTAGAACAATAAAGGCACAAGTTTAATTATTGTTTGTTCTTATTTATCATCCCTTGATTCCTACATTTTTACTAGTAATCCTTGAAGTCAAACCATGAAGATAACTAAGATTATAAGGCATTGAAACTACCACTATAGGATAATAAAAATAAAATACACAGAATTTTGGCAAGGGTTCATTTTTGTTCCAAAAAAGACACCTTCATTTTCTAAAGAGGTGTCCTATGCATGCTCTGATAAATTTTCAGCCAGTATATCTGTCCTAAGCAAAACTGTTATAGAATTCCACTCCCTTTGGCCCCATTTAGAGTGCTGAAACAAATATGCTTTGCGACCATGCGCTGATGCTCAGATGATGAGTGTGGCATAAGTGGTTTATATAGCATTTATCTATTTATTTTTTAAAAAACTCAGCCATATCCAAATTAAGTTATACCGGTTTGGCCAGCCAGGTAGGCCAGACCATGCCATGTTATAAATGAGGGTTTTTTTAAAAAAAACCTAACCTATGTTCCTGAGCTAATGCAGGGTTTTGAAATTCCTCTCTGTACCATTTGGCTAAACTGCAGTGTAACTCATTTCAGTCTGAACCATGACTTTAATATAGAGACTTAGAATGTGTCTTTGATAACACTGAAAAGCCTTTTATTAACAGACTGCACTTTAATGTGTAGAAAAACTTCAGGAACAGAGCTAGGGTCAATCAGATGCAGCATTCCACCTCATCCTCTTTTGGCATGAGCCAAAGGCGAAACCCTACATACAGAATTAATTCAGTCCCTTTCAGCTTTGCACACCCTTTACTGGAACATTTCCTTCTACATTTGTGCGTAAGATATAAAGACCAAACTGGTTAAAGCACTCCTTGCCACTTGATCTTTCCAATCATAAGATTTCATCTGTCAAACTCACAGGGTCTATACCTGTACCATGCCTAGTCGTAGCGGATTGTTTTGGTAAGGTCAATTCAGGATATTTCTGCATCTTTTCACAATAGGACAGATGGACCAGCATGTTTCAGCAACAGTAGGTCAACTCAAGGTTTTAAGGATACCAACAGCAAGAATTTTTCCTTCCAAAGTTTCTGGGTTTATCGGTCTTCCAGAGCATTCAAGCAGTTTCCAAAGTCCTTGAACTCCCATTGTTCTTCCTTACTTACTTTGATGAAAAATAATCTATGAGGAAAAGTTGTAAATATTTACTTTATGGTGCAAAGAACCTTGTTTATGAAAACAAAAGGTTTGTTATTAATACAACATTTATAAACAGCAAAAAGTGTGTTTAGAAGACCCTGCTGTACAGTACTGTGTTAAATGTAAACTACTACAAAAATAAAGGGAAAGTTAAAAAGTTTTGACAAGGTAAAGAAACTGTTTTTGTGCTTGTTTCATTTAAATTAAAATGGTTAAAAGCAGCATTTTTCTTTTGCACAGTAAAGGTTCAAAGCAGTATTAAGTCAATGTTCAGTTGTAACCTTTTGAAAGAACAACCATAAAGTTTTGTTCAGAGTTATGAACATTTCAGAGTTATGAACAACCTCCATTCCCAAGGTGTTCGTAACTCTGAGGTTCTAATGTATATACAAATTATTAGCATAAACCATAATCTTGAGTCTATGTTCAATACTGCCCTGAGCAGCGTTGGAAGGGAGGCATGGAGCTGAACAAAACTTGGCAGTTCTGGCTGGTGAGGATGCTCACTTGAGGGTGGCTGGTGGATAGCTGGGTACCAATGGAGGAATCTAAGTAGGAAGCTAGGTGGGTGGAGGTTGGGGATGCTGAAAAACAAATGATACTGGGGATTTGGGGACCAAGCGTGTTGATGGTCATGGGGAACAAGGGATACTGTAGCTAGGTGGGAGCCTGGTGTGGGACACCACTGGGAAGCTAGGGGCCAGTATTAGGCCTCATCTTATCTGCTGCTGTTGCACTTCCTCCTCCAGCTGCTCATTCCTGGCCCTGGTCAAACAGAAGGAACAGCAAAAAAGGCGGCAATTAACTGCCTAGTGACTAGTCCACAGGCACGTCTAGTGACCAAAATACAAAACTGCAGTTAAATGCCTGTTGCCTTCCCACAGCTCACCTAGACAAATGACATTTCAGGTAAGATGTGGGAATGCACGACATGGCTGTCAAAAGCATGACTGCAACACGAAATACATGACACTTCGTAGCCCTGTCTTTTATATATAGCAAGGGAGCTCCACCTCCAGTACTTCCAGTTCTCAACTACAGCAGTATTGCACAAGGTGAGAGGTGATCTCTCACAGCAGAAAAAGTGGTCACAGGCCATAAGCAGGCAGTGCAGATCTCAAAGCACTGGCAGCAGCTCACTGTGAAATACAATAAACTGCTGTAAATTGTACCGGATGCAATTTCCCAATGGAGTTAAGATACAGCCCCAAATAAAGCATAATGCACTCATCTGTTAGTTACTTATATGGAGCCACTACTATAGCATCTAGCACCTCACAATCTTTTTAATCTATTTAAAAAAAACTCTGAGATATGGGGAAGTACAATTTTCCTTCAAAGAGACCAAACGATTTGCCCTAGGTCACACAGTAAGTCCGTGGCACAAGAAGGACTTGAAGCCAGGGTTCCTAAATCCTAGGCTAGTGACAAATGGTTTGAATACTGGACCATCCTTCCTCTGTTGGCCATGATAAAACATGAATCATTGTTGTAAAGTCTGCACTAAAGAGAAAAACATGCAATGTTTTGGCCAACTTGAAATAGAAAAGAAAAAAGAAAGGTGAACGCTGGTTCTCCACTTTAACAGAGCATCAGCAAAACACTGCAATGTTTGGTGGAGCATTTATTTGATCAAAGTTCTCTGATCTCCTCCTCCCACCCACGATCTTTTTTGTACGGTTGTTTATTTATAAAACCCGAATTTGAGCTAAACCTGACCTGACCATTTCCTTTTAGTCTTTTTAAAGATAACAAGAGGTGCAACAACAAAAACCCACCGGCCCTTGAAAGTCTAATTGCTATTGTACAGACCTCCTAATAGGGGAAGCCCGGCTCTGCCACAGCG